ACATTAAGTGCCGGGGAGGATGGAGAGGCCGAGACAGACAAGAATGTTCCATGTCTGATTGATGAGCCTGACAATGGGTCCGGATCTGGTTTCAGAAACTGCATCCTGTGCCGTCTGTCGTTCGCTCTGTCTGTCTGTGTGTCTGTCTGTGTGTCTGTCTGTCTGAGAGGAAAGACTAAAATACCTGAGCAACGAACCTGCCCTCTGTGGCCCCCTCTCCATCACTCCTCACCAGTATCCACTCCCTGTTATCACTTCTGTAACCACACAATTCATAACCAAACAGTCACCGGCAGCCACACCCGGTAACAATTTCGGGTCATCACTGACAACACCCGGTAACCAGACCCAGAAAAGCACCGCAGGACTGTTAATGATACACCAAATAGACAAAAACGTGCACCAGTCGGTGACTGACACACACGGAAACCCGTCACCGTGACCAGCCGGTGTCTGACACACACGGAAACCCGTCACCGTGACCGGCCGGTGTCTGACACACACGGAAACCCGTCACCGTGACCGGCCGGTGTCTGACACACACGGAAACCCGTCACCGTGACCAGCCGGTGTCTGACACACACAGAAACCCGTCACCGTGACCGGCCGGTGTCTGACACACACGGACACCCGTCACCGTGACCAGCCGGTGTCTGACACACACGGAAACCCGTCACCGTGACCGGCCGGTGTCTGACACACACGGACACCCGTCACCGTGACCAGCCGGTGTCTGACACACACGGAAACCCGTCACCGTGACCGGCCGGTGTCTGACACACACAGAAACCCGTCACCGTGACCGGCCGGTGTCTGACACACACAGAAACCCGTCACCGTGACCAGCCGGTGTCTGACACACACGGAAACCCGTCACCGTGACCAGCCGGTGTCTGACACACACGGAAACCCGTCACCGTGATCAGCCGGTGTCTGACACACATGGAAACCCGTCACCGTGATCAGCCGGTGTCTGACACACACGGAAACCCGTCACCGTGACCGGCCGGTGTCTGACACACACGGACACCCGTCACCGTGACCAGCCGGTGTCTGACACACACGGAAACCCGTCACCGTGATCAGCCGGTGTCTGACACACAAGGAAACCCGTCACCGTGATCAGCCGGTGTCTGACACACACGGAAACCCGTCACCGTGACCGGCCGGTGTCTGACACACACGGAAACCCGTCACCGTGACCAGCCGGTGTCTGACACACACGGAAACCCGTCACCGTGATCAGCCGTGTGTCTGACACACATGGAAACCCGTCACCGTGATCAGCCGGTGTCTGACACACACGGAAACCCGTCACCGTGACCGGCCGGTGTCTGACACACACGGAAACCCGTCACCGTGACCGGCCGGCGGTCAATTAGATTTAAACGATCTTAAATTTCAAGATGTAGGTCGATAAACCTGAGGGTGAGAGAGTTTGCACGTCCTCCTCTTTGACTTGAATCCCCTGGAGTTGCTGAGGCCGAGCGAGTGAGGAGCTGCCGCGGTGATGAATGAACCTGAATGAACTCCATTAGAATCAGAGATGATTTCCGAGCTCAGGATAAGAGCAGCGCTGCAGTAATTAACTCGCTGCTCCCCACAGCGACATGTTTTATTAAACGGGGAGACTGACTGCCTCCCACACGCTCATGGCGCCGATAATTAACAGGCCTTAGGTTTGTCACTCCCTCCCACGTCGGCACAGCGTCTCGCAGTGCTTCACAGGATGCACTGTAAGGTGTAGTGACTGTGTGTTTTGCGGGCGGCCAATTCACACCCGGCGACGTCCCCACAAACAGGCGCGAGGTGAGCGAGTGACCGTATCCGGCGATTGTCGGTCAGGAGGAATGGAGGGAGGGATCGAGGTTGGAAATGTTTGAAGTAAATGCAAGACCAGTGATGGTGGAGCGGAGAGGACGGGGGTGCGGGGGGGGGGGTGGGGGGGGGGACGACGACGCATAGCGAGCAGAGCATGGGCCAGGGATGTTTCTGCAGGTGTAGTGACTGTGTGTTGTGCACCAGGACGCTGCGGGGTTGGGGGCAGGTTGTTTCGCTGAGTTCCCAGGGCTGACTGACTGACTGACTGACTGATACCTGAGCACTTGTCCAAACAGCCCCATTATTCTTGTTTGAAAGGTATAAATTACCCCAATTAAAGAATCTGTTTACGCTCCAACCCGAGGGGTGGGCTCACTCTCCAAGACTTCCTACACCCCCCCCACCCACCCACACACCCACCCACACACACACACACACACACCCACACACATGTCAGGGTCTCTGAGCTCTGAGCCCAGTGCTCGGGGCAGGAGAGAGAGAGAGAGAGACAGAGAGAGAGAGAGAGACGCATTGTCAGAGACGATGTGTTTGGCAACAAAACAGAGTTAGAAAGGGAGAGAAGGGGAGAACGCCCTCGAGAGGGTGAGAGAAGAACAGATCGAGATAGAGAGAGAGATAGGGAGAGAGAGAGAGCAAGAGAGAGAGCGACAGAGCGAGA